GCATATTGTTTATAATAAACAATAATTATATATATATAATATTATATATATAATAAACAAAACATAATTTTATCTTTTAAATATGATAACAATAAATTTCTACGCATTTTCTCAGTAGGTAGAAAATTTTTTACTTGTAACTATGCAAATTGTAATCATGAATCTATATTTTTACACTTATGTAGTATGTTGAATATTAATATATCATCTTCAGCCATGTTTTGTCAATAGGAATGATATGTAGCCAATCGATGATTTTAATATCTAAAATTAATTATTATTGTTATTTCCTGACATTTAAATATACACCAATATCGATTTTATGTACGTGTATATATAAAAATCAAGGTGATTAATTGTGATGATTTTAATTTGTATTATTATAAATTTGTATTGTTTTAATTTAATCTTATAAATGTGTGACAATCATTACATGAATCATTATTTAATTTATATTATAATAGCGTTTGCAGCTATAATCTATAATCTGGTTTATATATTTGGTAATTTTCGCAAATTTTAATTAACGGAAAATTGATTACTAATAATCATCAAATAAATGCGTATTCACCCGATCTATTGCCGAATACAAGCGTGTTGCGAGATACGACTGCTCAGCACGAAAATGTAAGGATTGTTCACGTCGTATACTCCAACATGCTTCAACATGTTTTTACCATAGCTCCTATTCACTCTAATGAGCACGTTTGAGTGAATATGGTAGAAGCTATGGTTGGAGGAAGTTGGAGCATGTTGAAGCATACGATGCGAACAAACCTTATTTTCTTTCGTCGCTTATGCGACCAAATTGCTATTGTCATTTATACTAAATAATTACCCTATATATTTAGCAACTTACAATATTGGTTGTACGTTATGGTCGCCACACTTACATTTGGCGGTAGACAGAATGAATTATTCGGCGATTAAATAATGAATTTTTTGTTAACTATTGCAAAAATTGTAAAATGATACGAGGGCAAGTCAATAAGTTTTTAGAAAAACATAATAAAACATAGTAAAACATTTTTTTTGATCGATTCATTTTTATTTCTCAACATAATCGCCTTTCAGCTCGATACACTTGATCCAATGATTCTTCAACTTTTTCAAGCCATCCGAATAATATGATTTGTCCAACCCTTCAAAATAAGCCTCTGTTTCGGCGATGAGCTGCTCTCTGGTGGTGAATCTTTTTCCTCCGAACCATTTCTTCAGGTTTGGAGATAGGAAATACTCGTAGAGGGGTTAAATCTGGCAAATATGCTGGATGAGGAAGCAATTCGTAGCGAAATTCATTAAATTTGAGCATCAGCCGGGCACGTGTGAATCCGTGCATTGTCTTGATGGAAGAACTCTTTCTTTTTCGCCAAATGGGGACGTTTTTTCTTTAAAATGTTGTTGAATGGTCCAATAAAGCTGCGTAGTAATCGCCATTGATCGTTTACTTCGACGGAAGATAATCGATATGAATTATATCGCGTGCATCCCAAAAAATTGCTATCACCTTTATGGTCTTCGCTTTCTTCGGAGATGGTTCGCCCGGTGAAGTCTATTGTTTTGACTGTTCTTCTCGGGTGTGAAGTAATGAATCCATGTTTCGTCCACAGTAATGAATCGACGCAGAAATTCATCTGGATTATGTTGAAACATCTCTAAACATTGTTTTGAAATCGTCACACGGTCGCGCTTATGATCCACAGTGAGCAAACGCGGCACCTAGCTTCGTCGATAGCTTTTTTATACCCAATTGTTCATGCAAAATTGAAATCACTATGTCATGTGAGGCCTGTGGCCTCAACAAGCTTGCGCACTTTCACTCGTTCAATTCATCAGTCAAAACAATACCATGGACTTTATTCAATGATTTCTGGCGTAGTAGCCTCAATTGGACGTCCTGAATGAGGTGTATTACATGTGGATGTACCACGTTTAAATTCATTCACTCAATTGTATACAATCACAAATACTGGTGCAGGTGTGCCATGAACATTATCCAACTCAGCTTTGAGATCTCAGATTTTCTTTCGGTGTTAAATCTTTCATATAGATGTTTGATCACTGCATGAAACTCATTTTTTTTCATTTTGCAAAAAATACAAAAGTTGTTCGTTTTAATTACAGAAATGAAACCACGCGATGAATTCCGCTCAAAATTTGACAGTAATCAGAGACGCTATTTATCTAAAAGTAATGTGACATGGCACTGCAAATGCCCACTGACAAATTTTCTAAGAACTTATTGACTTACTCTCGTACAGGATTTTTTGCTTAGTTTAATCTACTTGCTTTTAAATAGGCTACATTTAATATTAACCATCCAGCTGCATATATAAGTATATAGTATAAATATGTGTATGCTATATATTGTACACACAAGCGCGCGCGCACGATGAGAGGGAGGGGAGAGAGAGGGAAGAGGGAGGGAAAGAGGAGGAGGGGAGAAAGAGAAATTACATAAAAAGTAAAATATTTCGTTAAACAGAAACGAAATAAAATTAAAATGACAAAATTATAAATAATCTTACATTGCAAAAAGTAGCCATTGTTAGTGGAAAAATCTTTCCTGCAGTGATATAAAAAGGATATTTAGCTCGTATCATTAACATAATAAGATTTCTTGCCTTACTTGATTTCAACTTGTACCATTCAAGATCGCACACTGCACGATATACAGCATTGCTCTTAATAAATGTATATGAGAAAATATATTAATATTCATGCCATATCAATGAGGATTATTTCCAAAAGTATTAGTATTAATAATTGATTGAAATTTAATTAATTTCTTACTTTTTGTAAAAATTAAAAAAATTAAAAACAGAAACATGTTATACAACTCAAATGAATTTGCATGCTGTTTAACTTTCATTCAGAACTGAACATTTAACATGCATAAGAATATATATAACAATATATATAACAAAATAAATTATTAATAGTTTTTCTTAAATATGATAACAAAATTTAATCTCTTTAATGTGATAACAAATTTGATAATAAATAACATTATAAGCAACAATATAAGCAAAAAAATACTTGTTAGATATACAGATATACATGAAAATTATTTGATCTAAGCATAAAATATAATAAATTTATTTATATACATTATTTATATACATTATTTATGCACATTATATATATAACTTACTTGTTCTGTTATAATTTCTCCTGCTCCACAATAGAGAAAAGTATTCATTAATAAAATAACAAGAAGTAATAGTGAGAAATATCCTTGCGCGATATCAGCTTTATCTACATTTTTGTCTGTAAATATCTGAAATACATAAATTATAAAGCATAAAGAAGCATATTACATCTGTTATGAAATATTTCTCAAATTTATTTTACTGAATCTTACAATAGTAAATAAAAAACCACTTAGGCAAAATACAATGCCAAAATGAAATATCAATGCTAACATCATTACAGAGTATGTATTTTCGATATTGTCAGCAAACCTACAAGAATAAAAAAAATCTTAAATAATTATCACATCAATTCAATAAGATACTATATATATATTCAGAGCTACATATTTCTAAACATTAATCTAAACATAAAATAAACAGATTATCATTCATTTAATATTATCTAATATATTTCTAATTAAATATTTCTAATAAATAAAGTGCACAAAATTAATGTAATTATTATATTATGCAATTATTATATGTATATGCTAATAAGAATATTTTTGACAAACAAGTTTTATAGCTGCCAATTTGCCTGGGAATAAAACGTAATAAAGTTTTCAATGAATATGATCGCCGAATTGGAAAATAAAGAGAAAATGTACATTATATCTCTTTTCACTTATTAATGATTAATCCGTAATTTGTTATAATAAATATAAATGAAGATAAAAAATTTACATTTAAAGATTAAGACGGATTTGTAAAAAATTTATTCAATAACGCTTCTAAATTAATTATGTTGAACGTTCTAGTATATTAAAAATTCATACCTGATAAGACGTAAATGGGTTTCTACGATGTTGTTCAAAACTTCATTGAAATTTTTACATGAAATCAAATCAGTTAAACGGCATCTAAAGTTTTCTAACTGGCCACAAATGTGAAGAATTATTAAAATTAGAAAAATATCTACACTCATGTAAATGATACCTGCTAATAAAGTCGTAAAGCTAATAATAAAAAATGTCAATTCAAATTGCGGACTCTTATCTGTATTATAAAAATGATAAGTCTTCAACGGCAACGGTTTGTTCACACCCGTGAAATTCGTTATTACGTATACTACCGGAATGCCAAAACAAGGTGGAATAATTACTGCGAGAATCGCTATTGAAATGAAAACATATCCAATTATCATAATTAATCGTGCTGTTTGTGCTTGTTTTATCATCACATTTCTCTCTTTATCTTGTTTAAATGCTATCCAATCTTCCGCCATCATGTTTAAAATTGACAATATAACTTAAAAATATAAATAATTATAGGTAAAATATAAGTAAAATATTTGCTAAAGATGTTAAAATATTATTTGGACATATGTTGCTATTTGTAAACTACTATATATTAAAGAAAAAGAATTATACATATTTTATTATTTATTTTCATGTACGTTGATATGTAAAAGTAAATCATACATAATGCTTGTGTTCTTATTATAATCCACAATATATTTTTAATTATTTGTCATAAGATGATTTAACAAAGTGACAGAATATAATACTAAATATTTTATTTTATATAATTCTGGACATACCCGTTTGTTTCCGTCGCATAATGATGTATCTCACTGATATTATCAGTTGCGGTAACGTTGTATGTAAATTATCTATTACAAGTACCATATTACCCCAAACTTCTATAACTGCATATATCATCGGAACATTAGAAATAAATATTAACAAAATAAAAATGATGCCAATCCAAATTTCGGACCACAAACTTTTCTCAGTGCATTTGTTAGGTTTAGGCCACAAGCCTATCATTTTAAATCCAAAACGATGTAGATTAACAGCCCACAAAAAATCTAATAATTTTTGTATTATATAAGCCATTTGAATAAAATAATTGCAAATTAATTTTTAAATTTTTATGTTTATACGGAACAAAAATTAACGATACTGAAATATCTCAAGAATATATTTACAATACAAAATTATAAAAATTTTTTTCCTGTATACGACCAATTAAATGCCACCAATAATGTATTATAACATGAAATTAGTACCTTTGTATCCTGGAGATTTTGTAATATCCATGTCGAAAATTAGAATGAAGAAGATCTTGTTCTTTTCAAGGTTTGATGCAGAATGATTATTACGCATGCTCTCCATACAAATGTAAAAACTCAGCACCCTTGTTAAATGTGGATAACATGGCATTAAATATTAAGAATGCTCTGACTACTGATCTCTAACTACTGGTAAGAAAATTCTATAAACGTTCAATTTATAAAAGGCGTTTATGTCTAGTCTAATAAAATACGAGACAGAAAATATTGCGTGACATCGTAAGTTTGCCGAACACACTTGAACAATTTTTTTTATGTTGCATATTGCTCCATTATATATGCATCTTCTGCGAAACGAGAAATAACATTATTGCATTTTTAATATGACATTCTATAGCCACAAAAATTGTATTAAAGAAAAGAGATAATATAAAATTGCATATGTTACGCATATCTTCAAATATCTCTTTTAAAGACTTACCACTTGTTGCAAACGTGAGCGAATATAATATTATCTTTACACTATAAGTATATTATAATTTGTTAATTCATAGTTCTATTTCTAATGATAAAATTTCGATCTTGTAACTGCAATTTTCTTATAACGTATATAATTTTCAATGATCTGGCAACCTTCTTGCTATGAGATAACCAAATTGTTTTAACATTTTTCTGTTCGAAAACAAAATAGCTTTTCTTAAAATTGATGTAAGTGATAAAACTGACATACAGGTACCAATGTAGTTACATTCTTGTCACGTTCATTTAATAAAACACGAATAAAAATTGATGAAATTATCTATACAATCTAATTGCAATACATTGAAGAGAAATTTATAGATTTCTGATTTCTTTTTAAACGTAATGCACAGATATAATGTTTATCGAATTATTCCTGCGCAATGAAAATATTATAAAATGTTTATTAATATAATTTATAAGAAATAATAAATAACAATATGGACAAAACATAATTATATTTCTTAAATATTACAATAGAATGTATTTTATCGGTCGAAAATTTTCACTCAGCTATGTAATATTATAGTCACGAGCATATTTATTTTACGTTATTATATAATGTAATATGTTAAATTTTAATGTATCTTCACGTTTTGTCAATAGAAATGATATATAGCCGATTGATGATTTCAATATCTAAAATTAATTATTAATGTTATTTTCTAATATTTGAGTATGCGTTATTAATATCGATTCTAATGCATTAATTTATGTTATTACAATTTTCAAAAATCATTTTATAAATATGTGATAATATCATAAATGTGTGATAATTTTTGTATACATCGTCATTAAATTTATGTTACAATAATATTTGTGGCTATAATCTCTATTATACATAGGTAGATATATGTGGTTATCGTAATCGAAATGTAATAAATATTTAACATTCTCCTCTTAGTTATATTTTACTTTAACAAAAATCAACAACAAAAGTAAGTGTTGTAAATAATGAACTTTTGTTTATTAAAACGATAGAAAATACGATAATTTATATTCCGAGAAAACTGCAGATGAATATACAGATTTTAAATACCTTTATTGCAAAAGAAAACAGTTTATTGGGTTAACGAATATTACTTTTATGTACTCATTTTTTAACTTTCTTAATATATTCATTAAAAAAATTGTTTTATTTTATCAATATTAAACAAGTATTATTAAATAAGATTTTTGCATACAAACTATAAAATGAATAGTATTATATGTATATATATATA